AAGACTTTACTAATATTCTGTATAAACTTGATTAGCTAGACAAACGTATCAATTACAATTTGCACAAGTATGATATCCTAATTTACATAATATCTGACAAATAGCCAACATAAATTATATGTTATATTTATCGATTGCAGCCCTTGCTCTGCTAGAAGCCATGATGTTTATCCAAAGAAATATGTTTTGTTTTAATTATATTATCTTATATTAGCTTAAACATGTTTCAGACGCATGTACCCACATACATATATATAATGGAGAAGCGATATGTATTTGACATATATATATTTTGATTCCTGGGGCTAGCTGTTATGATCAATTTCATGATTTTAGGTAGCGTAGCTGGCTATAATGTTTGACTGACCTTGATCTCTGCAGAAAATTCTCTTTGGCTTTAAAGTCTGAGGAAATGGAATATATGTTGGAGAGATATGTCTGCAGCTCTGATGATATCATGATGATCAGGTGATTTCTGCTCTTATATCTAAACTTTTACAGTAAATACACACACACATATATAATATCATACTTAAATGTAATAGCAACTCTTTTAATCTCATTAGTTTCTCATATATGCATGTGATTAATTTCTTGGTTAACTTTGATAATCTGATTATGGAGTAGGGGCTTTAAAAGCAGCGTATATATACACATGCATGTACATACATAGATCTATAAGAATATAGATAGAGAATGGTGATTACACACACACACATATGTATATAGAGAGAGAGAGAGAGCATGCTCATTAAACATATAATCTTTTCTCTTTCATTATGATTATTAATTAATTAATTAATTATTATTATTATTATTATTAGCACTATATAATTAGTTTTTTACTGTTAATTTGTAATTTAATTCACACCTTTTAAATCTTACATATATATATATTTATATCACAGTTTAACATCTTTGCTTTTATTTATTTGGTTTATATAAAATTATTATTTTTTTAGAAGATATGTATTTGCATATTGTGTTTGGGTTTTTAAATATAGATATACGAAAGTATAATGCTTAACTAAATTAAATTTGAAATATATATACATATATATATTATATATGGGGAAATATCTTAAAAATTAATAATTTTTCTAAAAAAATTAAGATTTTAATAATAAAAATTGATTTAACTGTGAAATTATAATAACATTGTAAGAATTAATTTTAAAAATTCTAATTTAAAATTTTGTTTAGCTGAGAATATATTTGAATGAATTATTATTATTGAATATTGAAATTCGTGTTGAAGATAATAAATGAGGAAGTTCGGGGTTTGCTGGAGTCAGGGATGTGAGGGTTGTGGGCCTTAAAAACCCAACTCAATTATTAACGGAGCCTCAAAAGCTGCAATCTACGGCTCCATCACATCCTCAATATTAAATTATAAATTCATTGTTTTCCAAAATTTCTTATTTTAAAAAATTAAAATTTAATCTCTCTCTCTGTCTTCTCAATCTGGGTCTCTGTGTGTGTGTGTGTATAATATATATATATATATATATATAAATGAAAATTTGGGTAGTAATATTTTTATTGGGTGTGGTACGATGGGTCCATATCTTTATAAGGCAACCTCCCCCCACTGACCATGCTTGTGCAGCTCACATGCCTGCATGTGGGTCACCCTACTCCTCAATATTCCCAACTCCACATGATTTTTATTTTATTTTTTATTTTTTTATTTTTTGCTTATAAACTTGAAAACATTATTTTTGCAAAAAATAAAAAAAAAGGTGGATTTTTTAGCCACCACAACACACCATGTGACTTGAGCTTCGACCACCATTCACACATTTGTGTTTGACCAATCAAATCTCTTTGTTATAATTGATTTGCATGTATGTAAAAGAAGGAATTGGTCAAGCCCATACAACCAAATATATGAATGAATAGATTAGGAAACAAGTTGGTAATCTTATCAAATCTTTGCCTTTCCTTTTATGTCTTACAAAATGTGAAAACTTTTTATCCAATATATATTTGACTTTCACGAGTATAAGTTAATAAATAAATTTGACTGGTGCTTGTGAATACACTTCTTTTATGTATGTATGTGTGTGTGTATGTATTATTAGATGACTAAACAAATTTAGGAATCAGAAAAAACTTTGACTGAGTCAAACCAATCAACTATATTATTTATATCTCTGTTGGAAAATTGTATTCCATCTTAAAAATATGTGAAATATCGACACGTATCACCTCAAAAATGGAGCTGAGAGTTTCCTCTTACAAATAATTAATAATAATAATTAGTGGGTAAGTCGTAAACTTCAGATTTTTCACATTGAACAGAAGAATTTATAGTATTTATAAACAATTTAATCTCGTAATAATAATTTGTACTTTTTTAAAAAAAATAAATAAAAAAAATTAAGAATGGGATTTACACAAAAAATCAAATTTCATCACATGTTGAGTTCAGCATTAGCAGAGCATCATGTGATATATTTCTAAATTTGAGGCCGTCCGATTCATATTTTTAATATTTTAATTAATTAATTAATTAATTAATTTACAATTTAAAACCCTTCTCGTTGCTGATCCAGATGCTTCGTGCATGTGCATGTGAATCTAAATTCTGCACATTAATTTTATATATTTATAATTACCCCAGACTGTACTAATTCTTAGGTGCATATATATATATATATAATTAATTAATTACCTGGGTGTTTGATTTAATTAGGATTGTTTTAAGTACTAAAGTTGAATCACAAGGTGACTAATGAAAAACAGGAGAATTCAGAAGTCTTAATCTTACACCAAAGTTTCTATTCTAATAAAAGTAAACTAAAGAAACAGAATCCGAGGAGTTCAAGAAGTTGAAGAATAGAAGACAAGAGTCATACACAAATACTTTCCACTCATATAATATATATATATATATATATATATATATAATAGTAACTAATGAAACACCCATTCTTCCTTTTTAAATATATACATATAAGCAGTAGTAATGGTTCTCTTTTCTCGGATGGTAATAGTTCATATTTCTAATCATAGTTGTCCGATACATATACATATATATAAATAAGCCAGTAAATAAAAACAGAAAAGTAAAAGAGATAGAGTTGTTAATATATATATTACGAGTTATATCAGTTGTTTATATATATTGAGAGATCCTAAAATATATTGTAACAATACATAGAAAATTCGGCTTTGCACCCAAAACCCTAATCACTTCGCGACTAATAAGAATCCTGTTTATTAAAATTAAATTTTATGAAATCATCACCCACTACTTTGTTTTTTTACATAAAAAAAGTGAGTTAAAATCAGATTGCATTCTCGTTTAAAATTTGTTTTTTGTTATATATATATTGTAATTGATATTTATATATCGTTTAATTAATAAAAATATGATTTTAAGTATAATTGCATTACTTACAAAAGATATGGGTGTAACTTATTTGCAATTACAAAGTAAAATATTCAATATTGTGCATGTATAATAATTCGAAAATTATTTTGGTCGGAATAAATTTTTGTTCGAGGTGGTAAGAAATTATTTTCTCAAAAGCTTATTGAATTTAGTTTATATTTTAATTCTATGAAATACTAATTCTAATTCTGAACTAACTAATCCAAAAATAAATAGTGTTTCGATTTCATTGTTTACAAGTAAAAATATAAATCGAGTTACTATGAAGTTAAATATATAAATTGATTTAATTATATATAAAATATTTATATTGCGAGTAATTTTTATATAATGTTTAATTTGAAATTATAATTTTTTTTTTCATTTTTTTTTGACAAGTTATGGAATAAATATCAAATCTTCATATATATATATATATATATATATGCCAACAACTTAATTAGATAAAACTTATCTCAAAAAAAAAAAAAAGAATTACTGAGAAAGATGACAGAGAGTCAACTTCAAATTAAAACATTATAACTTTATATATAAATATATATGTATGTATATATATATATATATATATATATATATGGGGTAAGTTGTTGGTATGAAGATTTGAAGGGCAAAAAATTTTCTGATAAATTCAAGGGAGGGGAAGATCAAACAAGCAGAGCAAGGGAAGTAAGTGAATAGTAAACAACAGTGTACTCAGGTTTGAAATCCAGTAAATTGTAAAAACTAAAATGGAAATCAATGGAATGGTAAATATTCTGTTGTGGTTTTTCACCCAAGGGTAAAAAATATATGTGTGTGTGTGTGTGTGTGTATATATATATATATATGTATATGAATAATGAATTATTATTACAAAGAGATACTGTCTTCTTTTGTTCAGCAATGCGCACATCCCTTATCACAAGAACCAGCTAACTACTGTCTGCTCTTCACTGTCCCCTTCCTACTCTCTCTACCCTTATTTTTAATATTTTTTCTTTAAAAAATAAATTCAGTAGATTTATTAAAAATAAATTTGAAAATATGTTTATTGAGTTCGATAATAAATAAGTTTTTAAATTGATTGATTGTTGATACGTTAATTATTTTATAAAATATTATGTATTTAATTCAAATTGTATTACTACGTATATTGATATTAATATTATATAATAAAAATAACGAAGAAAAAAAAAATATATATATATATATATATAATTTGGCGAATTGGGAAATGAAGAATTAAAAAAAAAAAAAGAGATCATATAATGGAGTATGGTGCAATAATTATCTCAAAAAAATAAAAATAAATAAATAAAGATAAAAAAAGTGGTAGAAGGTTCATAAATTCAAGAATGCATAAAAGCTTGATCCATCTTGTTATTCTTTTCTTTATTTTCCCAGAGAGTCATACCTTGATTTCTCAGACAGAGCAGCCAATAGAATTGTGCCACGACACCAATAATCATAGCCATATCATGCAAATATAACACAATAATTTTTGTACAAAACTACGTAGTTTTGACACTTCAAAATATATACCCTCTTACTATCCGCACCCATAACACCAGTATATAAAACACAGAAAGTCCCACTTGTTTATGGCTGAACTTAAAAAAACTTCAAAACTTAAAACCAACCTTCTTCTCCGGCTCTCTGTTTTTCTCTGTTTTTACTCATAGAAATCACGAAAGAAAAGCTATATATTCAAAGAAGAAGAGATCAAAGAGAGGAAAAATCACAACCCATTTATCTTTTTTCTGCAGCGATTAGATTAGAGTGAAAATTTACATGGATGACAAGTGGAAGCCGTCGAAGAAGGAAGCTTCAAGTAGCTACCATTACTCTGCATCATCATCATCTTCTTCTTCTTCTTCTTCCAAGTCTGTTTTCACAAGGAGTTTTTCGACAAAGAGTTCTTCAAAATCCCCACTCCTCATTAAAAGTTCTTCCACAAAATGCTCCTCGTCTTCTTCTTCTTCGTCTTCAAAGTGTCCGCTACCTAGAAGCTATTCCCAGAAAGGTTCCTCCATTACAAGAAAATGCAGCAGCTTGGCCAAGGAACAGAAGGCAAGATTTTACATCATGAGGCGCTGTGTTGCCATGCTTGTTTGCTGGCATAAACATGGAGATTCTTGAAGGTACGAAGACCAAAACAAAGGATTTTTCCTTTTTCTAAATCTTTTTGCAGGATTGTTCTTGATTAAATTTCATGCCAAACCCATTTTGTAAAATCATAGATAGAAATTTCTTTTTTCTTCTTTTTTTTTTTTTGTTTTCTCTAAATTTTCAGACAGTTCGAGTTAATATTATCTAAACTAGCAAGATTCAGTATTATATCCAGCCATTTTCTTTCTTTTCTCTTCAATATTTTTTTCTAACTTCATGTATCAATCAAATCAGATCTCTCAACAACTAACCAAACTTACTAGTTTCCGTTTTTTTTTTTTTTTTTGTTTTTTGAACTTCTCTTTTTCTTGTGTTCTTGATGAGTGGGAGATTCCTTTATGTCAGCTGCTGGAAACTGCCAATATAATATATTATAGGAGGAAGACATTATTAGAAAATGGATCTGCATTGGAAATGCAAAAACCACCTTTTCCACTTTTAGAAAATGGGGGATTCATCAGAAAGTCATTACCTTGATTCTTACATAAAATATTATACACACACTCATTTACATAGATGATGTATGTATACGTTTCTGAATTTAAATTCTCACCTAATATCAACCCGAAGAGTTGAACCCACATCTTCTTAAGCCTACTTGCATAGCTCTTTAACTGTGTCAATGGTTAAATGATCTTAATTATCCTTGTATTTGTTTAAACTTCTGCTTAACCAATGCAGAAATGGGTCGAAAAGAGCAGAATCGAAGAAACTAAATCTGGATGAGGCTGGGGATGATGGATGAATTAAACTAGAGATGAGTTCAGTGTATAAAATCTTTAGATTAGAAGGTTAATTAAAATGGGTTATTTTGAATCTTAATCTTGGTATTCTCTACTAATTAATCCTCATAATACATGAAGAAGCCAGATAAAGATTTGGGTAAATTTAATCCTGTTCCAGTGTCCTTTTTTTTTTCATCCTTTGGCTGTTTTTCTTTTAGTAGTACAGTACAGTCAATGTTTTCTATCAGTATTGCCACCAACCAACAGAACAATTATTCTACTTGATGTAGGCTCTAGAGATTGGTATGGGACTAGTGTACCCAAATGTTATAAGCTCAATAGTCGTATTGAAAATATATGTACTTCTCGGATAATATATGTAAATGTTCAAGTCATACATTATTAACAATTTTAACTTTTTAGAATTAATAATTCAGGTTCAAACAAAATATTAACCAAGTTGTGATTAAGTCCCGGGTATCGTACTTCGATTAAAAATTTTGGTCGTAAAGTAAGCTTAAAAAATGGGATTTGAATTCGGAATAATTAACATGAAAGAAAGGAGAAATATTAATTTCATCAAAACATTAAAAAATTTTCCTTCTTTTAAGAAAAATCACTTGATGTTATAAACATCAAAAATTATTTTTCCTTTCGTCTTTCCTCCACATGTCCGAAAAGAGGCTTATGCCTTTTTAGTTTCTGAAAATTAGCATTTGGGAAGATCAGGCGGTGGAGGAAGCAGCTTCTGATTTGGCAGTTTTCCTTCCATGACTATCCAAGCCATCTCTAACCCCCAGCTCATATGAGCTTCATAATGGCAGTGCATAAACCAGGCCCCTGCTCAACACATCACATTTAGGTTCAATAAGAGTTAAATTGATCAATCATATTTCTTTAAACATGGAGTGAGGATTAAGGTACTACGAATTCAGAAAATGGAAGAATACTTACCCGGATTATCTGCAAAGAATCGAACAGCGGCCCAGCCACCGGAGGGTACCCCAACAGTATTCCTCAAAACAGGATCAACAAGATTGAAATTTGCAGTGTCCTTGTCAGGATCAAAATTGCCAAAACCCTGGCCAACAACATAAAAATTGTAGCCATGGAGATGAATAGGGTGACTCTCATAACCCAGGATACTAGTCCCCTGTAACACAAGCTCTACACTGGTATTAAATGGCAGCAACACAACTCTAGTTCCATGCTTCACAAGAGTGTTACTAGGTGGGTTCCCTGTGTAATTAAATGGGTCTAGAGGGAAGCTAGGGAAATCATAGGAGCATGTCTGATTATGATCAGGATCCTTTTCCGATAATGATTGGCCAAGAAAATGAGTTTCAAGTAGTGCTTCAGAGGGGAGAATAAATGAAATGTTATTAACAAAGCCTGAGAATTTCGCCCCACCAGGTCCTAAACAGGTCTGGTTTTCGGGGCATTGTTTCGTGCCTACTCCGATTGTGAAGATAAAATGTCTATCCACAGTTTTAGGCACCTTGACTGGGAATTCCTGATTAGCCAAACTGCGAAACCTTCTGGTAAAATCAGCAACGAAATCTGTGCCACCAATTGGAGGAAGAACTGGTCTGAAAACTTGACGGTGTTTCAGCCTGTCTGGAGAATCTGAATGGTTACGATTGTTCCGGACATATTCAAGGATACCGGCTACTGTAGAATTGTCAAAGGTTCCTAAGCCAGTGAAATAGGGTCTGGCCAGCATGATGAACCTGGCATTGGAGTAGTTTGGTTTGGTTTCCAGAATCACATTTGTGGTCTGTCCAGGTCCTAGGAACAATATATCTGTCTGAAATGGCTTGACATAGGCTGCATCTGCCTCAACAACTGTAAAACTATGGTTAGCTATCCCGAAAAAGAGCTCATCGTTGAGTGCAGCATTGATCAGACGAATGAGGTATTTCTTCCCAGGCTTCACCTTTAACTTGAATGTATCTGTTTAGCAGAGAAAAGAGCAAGAACCCGGTTACTCACCCTCGATTTTTTATCAGAAAAGCTATGTATTGATAATTTTTTTATCAGATAAGTACCTTTGGCAGAACAGTTGTACAAGAAACCTGGGAGACCATTAATGGTGTAGGCATCGGACACATTTGGACCGTTTCCGGTCCAAAGAGCCTCCTTAATAACTGCCTCAGGATCAGAATTAAACCACTCTCCTGTAATTCAGATTTAGCCATATGACATTAGTTCTGAAAATCACATTATGTACCTCACTTCAGTCCAATTTCAATACACCAAAATAATTTCGGGTAGATATACTTACCGAACAATATGGGGACTACCTTGTAGGGTTTGGGAAATGGAAAAGAGGCATGGTGAGGAGGGAGGATGATTAAGGGCCCATAGACAGAAGCTCTTAGCCACGAAATATGAGCATGATAAAAGAAAGTTCCTCTATGGCCAACAGTAGTAAAGTTGTACACATAACTCTGCCCCGTCTGAATAGGACACTGTGTGATATATGCTGGCCCATCTGCCCACCCATTTCGAATTTGTCGAATTCCATGCCTTCAATCATCCATCCAACAATACAAATTAACACATAATTAATTTTCAATTAGTACCCCTCTAATGAAATTGCTAAAAGTTTTTGTTGATTTTGAATAAGTACCAGTGAAGAGTTACATTATCCGGGATATGATTCACCACCTTTATCACTAAACGATCACCTTCTCGAGCAATAATCCTAGGACTGGGGAACTTCCCATTAACAGTGACAACGCTCCTCCAATGGCACAACCGGGTAATGTTTTTCAGTACTACCTGTAATCAAGAAATCCATAACCAATCATGAATAATTCGGTCATGATTAAAGCTAATGAGATCGTGCCACCTAACTTAACAGGTAAATTTAGTACATGTTTGATCTTGCTCGAGAATTTTGTTAGATTTTCTGCTTTACTTGTACACGAAATATACTTACATTGAACTTGTAATGTCTTGTAATGGCTGAATATTTTGTGCTGGTGGCTTCAAAAGAGACGGCGGAGCAGCTCATGGCAAAGATGAAAGCCGCAATAATTGCTGGCAGTGCTCTTAACAGAAACATCGGGTCCTGCTTGTTTCTTGCTAAGGACTTGAAACTTTCAGGTTCTCTGTTTTCTATTGAATAAAATTCCAAAAAGAAAAAAAAAAAAAAAAACAGAGCAATTCACAGTCTTAAGAAATAGAGTCATACCAAAATCAAGTGAAATTGAGTCATAACAAAATTTTAAGTGAAGCTCAAACCATTTATAAATTTAACTTTTCTTGCAGTAATTTTTTTGGTAAACAATACATATATATATATATATATATATGATATTTATTAGTATTGTTGAATCCTAAGAAATTTATTTCTTACTTAATTCAAAATTCTAATAATTAAGACAGTAAAATGTAAAAGTAGAAGATATTTTATTTTGGGTTACCACTAATCTCAACATAATCTAATTTAGTTTACTTCATTTTTTTTTTCAGATTACGATTCTAACTACGATATTAGTCCTAGTATGCTTAATCAAAATACTAGTCATTGTGCTTGTGCTTCTACCGCACTCTATTTAAATTTCTTAAATATCGACAATAACAACTCGAGATAAAAATTTATGTTTTAACCTTCTAATCCGAATCGTACGCTATTAGATCATTTATCAATTTTAGTTAGAACTAAACGGCTACTTACTTTTCTATTGCAAAGTAGTCAAATTCTTTAGTTCCCACTTTTCTGTTTCTCTTTTTCGTTGTCGTCGAAAATGTATATGATTGGAAGAAATCAGACGAAGAGGAAAAGAAGAGACACATACCTCCTGCAACTGAGGTGAAGGCCGCGAAGCAAGAGGAAAGATGGAGAAAAGGGAACTGAATGTACGAGTCAATCTCCTAGGAAACATGTTTTGTGGGGTAATTTAAAGCAAGAAACTTGCATTAAATTCACTCTAAAACTGGATTCTTAAATGGTTCCTGCATTTAAAGCTGTCTCAAGTTTATTGTACATATACATTCATATAACACATGAAGACAAATAGTATTTAATTACATGTCTTCTAACACAGTTGGCTTTGCTTCTGTGGTAGTATTTATGAAATTACTGAGTTATGTTCCAGAACAACAGTTACAACTAAATTGAGAAAAATATTTTAATAATAACATTAATGAAAAATAAGCATATTTGTTATTCAGTGTGATCAAATATAGTATATAACCGCCACTATTATGTGGTACTCTTACATATATATATATGTATGTATATACCATAATAAGCATATGCTGCATTTGATAAGTATGCATGACACGTTTAATTTGTCACTTCAACTAAAAAAGAAAAATTGTATATAAATATTAATGTATGTCTACGTGTGTACGTACACATGTATTATATATGAGGAATAATAAAATAAAAATAAAAATAAATAAATAAATAAGATATTTGTGCAAAAAAAGTAAATTATACAATAACTTGGTAATATTATAAGCCTTAAGTTTTGTTTTTTTTTTTAATTTGAGTAAATATACATTTATGAATTGAATAATATAAAAATACTATTGTAATATTATACTAACAACTTTTAAATTTATGTAGTCAAATATCTCGTGTCAACTATAATAGATTCGTTCAACTTATGTGGGTGAATCGGAAAGTTCTCCACGAAAGATGACATGAGCTTAACACTAATGATTCAGTGCGTGGTAACTTTGGTCTTGTGACAACTAGGAGTACTTTCGAGATAATCGTGGTCAATGAGTATAAGACTTCCATTGTATGCCAAGCTTTATAGACCTCGTGGAGGTTGAGCTACATGGTATTCTTGAGGACCTTAAACTGGCTTGGAATTGTTTATTAGGAAGCTAGTTGTGGATATTGTTCTTTATATATCAAACACATGTTGATCCAAGATGAGAATTTGAAGTATACTAAATCAAATATCAAGGGCAAGAAGATGGAGTATGATATAGTTGATTTTGTTTATTCCATTCTGCTCTATATTCCACTAATAAAATTATGATTTATGTTGATAAAATTATATTATGTATAATGAAAGAGTTTGAGAATTGAGTAGTGTAATGCCCAAGTTTGAATGTAATGTAAATTAAATTTATTTAAATGCAATTTTTTAATTTTTTTAATTTTATTTTGGAGTAAAAATGAATTAAATTTGATGGATGAAGAAAATAAAAATAATTTTGAAAAAAATAAGTGAAAATTTGGGTCTTAAGAGTATTTTTGAAAGAAAAATCGAAAACCGGAAGTCAAAATACAATTTAAAAAAATTTTACCACGTCGGATACCCAGTCAGCAGACCTGATGAATCAGGACGCGCCGCATGGCAGCGGACGCTGACACGGTGCCACGTGGGCAATTCGCGTGCTTGCGATCGAACGGTGCAGATCCATTCCCGCGCACATAGACGGCCCGAATGCCTTTCCTCCCCAACACGATCAGACGGTCAAATTTAAACGAGATCACACGGTTCATATTGGATCACGATGAACAGCTCAAATTAGATTGCGAAAAATGGTCCAGATTCTCTCCCTATTTGATCGTGATCGGACGGTCCAGATTAAACGCAATAGACGATCCAGATTAAATGCGGGCGGATATAAATAACCCTCATTCGCACTAAACCCTAACCCTAGCCCGTAGACCCCCTCGCCGGATAAGAAGGCCCTGCCGCCGGGAAAGAGATCGTCGCCACCTGCCGCCGCGCCGGAGCCCTTTCAGACCGCCAAAAGAGGTAAAAAAAAATTTCTTTGCTCAGAATTCAATTTTAAACACCTCCATGGCCAAATCGGAGCAAAAAGACCGGCTGATTAACTGAAAAATGTGGGCAAAGCTTGGCGGCGGCGCCACAAAAAAATTCACAAAACGCCTCCGATGAGACCCTTTCCGGTTCCCATTCTGCGTAATTTTTTTACTGTTGTGATCACTGTTTCTTTCTCTACAGGTCGACCGGAGCAAAACATCCAATTGCAACGTGAGCCAGAGGAGCCACCGTACTGGAGAACCCCGCCGCCGATGAGTTTCAATTTTTTTTGGCCAACTGATGCCCCTTAACATGTTTTCTCACAGGAATTGATGCAAAATTGGCTGAAAATAGCCAATCTGATGTGGACCGCCATTACAGGTGGCGGCGCCGTCACCCGAGCACAGCATAGCTGTCGTGCCGGAATTTCGAAATTGGTCAAAATGGACCATGGGACTGATTTAGGGTTTGTTTGGGATATTTGTAGGTACTTATAGCACATTTTGATTCCCGAAGAAAAATTCAGGGAACCCGGGGACTGCTAGTGGATGCAGTCAACAGTTTAATCTTTCGGGCATCAAATTGAGTAAGAATCTCTTACCCTATCCTCTGTTATGGAATTGAAGTTTAATTTTAAATAATACGATATTTTGTGAAATTTAAAAAATATTTATAATTAATTACGTGTTATTA